CCGATTGCTGGCCTGTCACGCAAAGTGAGGCCGCGACGAACTCAGAATCGTCCAAAGTACCGCGCCTGACACGCAAACACGTTTCCAAAATTAGCGCGGGACTGTGGCGCCAGAATGATTTCGACCAATTTTGGCTCATTTCAATTCAAGCTCACCAAAACGAGCAGATTGCACGACAGGGTCGAAGAAACTGAGACTCGCGCAAATGCTTGCGCGCACCTGCCAAGAGACGCCTCAAAACGACCACCAATGGCGCAGCAATGCGAGCACTCAACCTTCCAAAACACTGCGCCTGCGCGGCAAAAACGACACGCAACGTTAAGACACAATTCACGCAGAGGCGCGACGAAGTCAGCGCTTCAAGATTCATTAGACTCATAAACGCGTAGCGTTTTGCAGCCATCTCAACGGCACGGCCGCTTTTGCCCACCATGCGAGCGCTTGCGGAGGCTTGCGAACACAGCGACACGCCTCGCAAAGAGGTCCTTTCCAGACCCCTTCAACGGGAACCCGAAGGGTTCCCTTGGGTCCCAGGCAGCTCGCCCGGGGAGAGCTGCAAGTTGGCCTTCGCTGTCTCTTTTTGATCACAAGGGATTGGGATTCAAATGCAAGGGGGGTTGATATAATAACCATTCTAACTTGGCACAAACAACCAACCAACAAACATACACACACATGTCGACCATTTTCTTTCAATGGATTGAACCCATCCGTTAAGTTTGGGGTCATGCCAACTCCCTGAGAACCAGCAAAGGGGCCACTGGACGAGGCTCAAGAAATGAGCTCACTGATTCTCAGCTCACGGAATTTGACGACAAAAAGACAAGCAGCAGCAGCCCCTTGTGGATCGTGTTTTGTCTGGCGCCTGTCTTTCCTGATCACGTTGCCATGGAATCTGGGGAAGGCTCAAAACATAATCTTCCTCAAGGGACCTTCTGGCGGATTTCATTGATCGTTGGTCCATTAAAAGTGGGGAAGGGCCGTGCCTTGATTCAGACATCCTTCCTTTTCAGGAATCGAAAACTCCAGCGCCTCATCCAGCTCAACCTCCACGCGCCACTGAGCCTCATGTCCCAAAGTGCCACGGACCCAATTTGGGCATGTCTCAGAATTCCGGGGGTCAACGTTTTGGCTTCCCTTCAAACAAAAAACCTGGTCCTCAAAAGAGGGTACCCAAAAAAAACAGTTACCTTCAAAAACGGGGTGCCCTCGAATCAGGACACCCCCGAAAATGGCATTCACTTCCCAAGCAACCGGCCCCAAGAAGTCAAGACCTTGCCGAACTCCTTTTCAGGGAGCATGGAAAACATCGACTCTGCTCCAGCCACTCGAAAAAAACATAGTCATTGACCGCCACCCTCCGGGTGGAAACTCCTCCTGCCAGGTCTTTCAGTTGGAGATGGCAACTGCTCAAATCAAAGCTGTGCCCCAACATGTTGATTCTGGGCTCTACTTTGCGGCTTAGAAAGGATGGGTTGGGACTTGCTATAGCCCCAAAGAGTAGAAATAGAGTAGAAGTAACTAATTCTCAAAGCTGGAGTAAGAATTTTAAGGGGATTCATCATGGGCGAGCGCGTTTTAGCCCAAGGTGACATCCTCGAATTTGTCCAGAATGGCCAATAAATGTCCTTTGCGCTCAATTTGGCCACCCAGTGACCTGGATACTCGAGGCCGCAGCGAGGCTGCTTGCTTCGTCTATGAGGTCAACCGCCTGACAGGCACGTCTCGGCCCCCAGCAAAAAGCGGACGATTTCTGAGGGTTCAAGGTTGAAAACTCCGATATTCCCAAGAAGTGTAAAGGTCCCGTCAGGGCAAGCCAAGCTTTGCCTTTTGGGGGGAGCAGCAGCCTCTTGAGACAACTCTTGCCTTCAAAGTGGAAGTAGCTGATGTCACGCTGGCAGCATGCAAAGCCGCAAAGCTGTTGCTTTTGTTCCAAGCAAGCCAAGCAGTGCCAGCCTTGTCCGGCAAAAAGCGCTCGTTCAAGTAGCCTTAGAATCCGGCGACGTTGAAGCCATTACTCACTGGCAAAAGCGCCTATCAATCAATTAGGGGTTGATTAATACTGGACCTATTTGCTTAAGCCCCCTGAAAATTTCTAGTAGTGATAAATCCCCTTTAAAACCAACAGGGCAAAGTAAAACATATTCTTAACCAAATGGAAGCTGGGCTCCCATTGACCAGAAACAATGACCTCGAGAATACCAGGTCATCTTCGGAGGTCTGACCACACAGCTGCTCCGGACAGGTACTCGGACCGCACGAGCTTCCTTGAGTTTTCCTAGCCTTAGTTTTTGGGCGGAAGACGTGTTTCACACGGGATCCCGTCATCCCCCCTCCCACCCACCCAAAAACAAAAATGGACCAAGGGAAATTAAGCTGCTGGTGGGTGTTTGGGGGGGGCTTCCCAAAAGGGTGATGTTGAAGCTTGCTGGTCTTGTTTGTAAATGAAAAAATGGCCCACCCGCAAGTCCAATGGAAAGGCCCGCTTATTCCCAAACCTGGGGTTGAACGCGTGGGGCCTTGTCCAGGTTTGGAGTCCGCACGCACTCCACACGCCGCACCCTGGATTGACAGTGGCTTTTGGGTAAAGTCTTTAAGCGTCTGTACAGAAGCGATCGCAACTTGGCTTGCCCCAAGATTGCGTTGTGACTCTAACCCTTCCAATGGAAATCCCTAAATTCCCATCCTCCATTGAAGGGTCCTTTCTGATGCTCCGTATTGTATCTACTCTGCTGGTGTGGTCATTTTTTAAAGCATGTTGAGCCAAACCCCATTACGGGGTTCTCGAACGCTTCATATGTGAAAGGGAAACCAAAAGGAAACCAACCTTTGGCCCAATTTGGGTCGGTCAAAAGGAAACGAACTGGAGACCGCAGACATTTCTGCGATATTTACAATAATTCGAAAACCTGAAATGAGAGATATCACATCATGGTGAGCTCATTTTACCCACCAGCTGGTGAGCTCAATGTCAACATAAAAGTGGCAGAATGATCCATGTTCTTGCTTCTTGTTTCATGTTTTTTTTTGGATGGAAGGTCCCCCCAACACTTGATTCTCAGTACGGAATGAGGGAATGACCCCGATAAACCACCCCTTGTGGTTTGCTTTAAGGGGATCCCCTTCCGGTTCATGCCCAAACTTTTATTGATTCCATACTTCTCACAATGAAATGTCCTTGCTTCTCGTTGTTGTTTTTGTTTTGGGGGGCATGGGGGAACGGGGGTTTCTCCAAAAACAAAAAAGAAACACCCCCCAATTCACAACCGACCTCCCCCCCCCCTGTGCCACGGACACCTAGAGTGCAGTTTGCAGCCCAGAACCCTAAAAAACCCATCCCCTTGAAGGTTGCAAAATCGACCCGTTCGGTGTCAATCATCCCCCCCTCCCCCCAGGCGACATCGGGCCTTAAAGGCCGGGCCCCCCCGCGGTGTGAGAGCCGCACCGCAGCCTCCAGCGCCTCTGGCGCCAGCAGCACCCCGTGGTGCGCCTGTCGACTGAGGGCCACGGGGGCCGTGGGAGCTGTAAAATAGGCGCCTTAGGCAGGGGGGGGGAAGCAGGGGGGTAGGGAGGTGGGGTGAAGAGGTTGAGGAGGGTAGGGGGTCATACTCCGCAATGAAGCTTTCGTCAATCACAAGAGGACACCAACCAATTTGGGGGCTATGTTTCTTTGATGTTGAGACCAAATGTAGTCCTAGAATGATATGGGGGTTCCACTTTCTTTATTTACTGGCCTTACCTTGTTTTGATGGAAGCCGGTTGTCACGTGGATGTTTCTTCACAAGGGGGAAACCGCTTGTGGTATTTGAAGGGAAGCTAATAAAAGCTTACAAACCGTGTTGGGGATCTCCGTTAATCTCTACAAGCAAATGTCTTACAATTCCCATGTCAGCAAATGGGACGACTCCACCAACATGTCCGTCTCACTTGCTTGGTCCCCGGGAATGTGGGAACTAAATATCTTACTTGGTCTTGTGGAACGTGGAAATGGCGGTTTGCAGGCCAAGGTTGGTTCTGAACCCCTTCCAACCATAAATGGATCATGCAGGGAATGGTTGGTGGGATTTTTCCCAAATCCTCGACACGGAATAAGAAAATGGGATTACCCCAAACGTGGTTGTGTGCCTTTGAATTCCACCAAGAAAACACCTCAAAAAGGGTTCCCACATATCCGTATTACAAGTGAGGAAGCGTCGGCATGGATGAAGTCAATTTTGCCCTTGGTGGACTTGCCAAGCAGGGAAATGCTGAAAACCATGTGACTTACCATGGTTGTGATTGATTTGATCATCCTGGCTACCCTGACCTGCGGTCTTCCCAACCCCCAACACGCCGGCAACAAATTGAATCTTATTTGCACAAAAACGGACAGAACCAAACAATGTGTTTAAGACAAACCAACACGACATACCAAGCGCAGTGGAGATGTGCAAAATGGCCCTGGTGCTTCCTGTAATTCCCTGGTGCTTCCTGTAATATCAAAGTAGCTGCTTCCAAATTCCCGTAAACGATGCTGTCACTGAAAAGGGATTCCCGAGATCACACAAGGTGATGGAAGAAAGCCTGTCTGAGGACGAAAAACCCTAAGCCCCAACCTCCTCTCCGCGGTGTTTGAGAAAAACGGCGCAACCAGCGAGGTTGAATAATTGACTGGTGGGGTGCAGTGACAAATTCCAAACATTGACGGTGTCCAACTACGGCGCTGTTTTCCTGAAGGTGCTTGCAGTATCGACTGAAAGTGTCCAGCGGGGGTCAGCGGTCGCTGGTCCAAACAATTTGCACACCCGAATAATCAACAAGTACCCAACTAGCCAACAAGCCCCTTTACAGCTGAGAGGAGCGTGCAAAGTCCTTCTCTTGGGCATGGTGACAAAAAGAAATGGCTCGGAGCCTAGCTCGGAAACTTCCTAGGAATAACACAAGCCGCAAGTTGCCCTTCCATTCTACCTAGGAATGACGCAAAGGTGGTTGTTCCAAAAGTGGGCCTTGGAATTGGTTTCGCCATTTCGCGCCTGCCCAAAGCCACTGAACTCAACTTCCTTGCATGCCATGATGCTTCGCCTTCAGATTTTTCTACACCCGCGACGCAAAAACGCGGTCTTGAGACCCAAAGGTTCTGTCTTGGTCTTTCGACCGTTCAAGTCCGGGAATAAACCATGGCCTTCTCCCACTTGGGTAAAATCTGGCGCTGCAAATGGTGCGATTCCAAGGATCTCCAAGAAAAGCTCCACATCCACGGCTTGTTTTGGCCTCAAATGCCGGAACCGCTCGCCGCTTCAACTCGTTTCCAACACAAAGAAGCTCGCAGCTAGCCGCGGCCTCGTAGGCAGGGCGCAAGCCCTCCAGCACCGACAGGGCTTCAGGCACCGAGGATTCCTGCATGACCCGGGCTGTGCAAACTGATCCCATAGAAGTTTAACCTGTGGGTCAATTACGGAACCCAACCACTAAACCCAAGAGTCTGAGAACCTGAGGGACGCGCTAGAAGTTTAACTTTCAGTGGGTTAAATGGAAACCCCCACTAGGCCCTCTGGGCTGTCCTCAGATATGCTAGAAGTCTTGAAATTTTAGTGGGTTAAGTACGGAAACCCAACAACTAAACCTAACCCAAAAGCCCAAGGAATCGGACGGCTGGGAATCGCCAAGGAATGAATACCCCTTATGTCAAAGCAAGTTTACTGCATGCACAAGTGCGTATTTGTTTGAGAATATAAGCGCTGCGCGTGAAAAACCCAAGAAAATGCTGAAACGCGAGAGGTGGCTCTGTGTGTTTATGAAACCAGTCAGCAACTCGGTCGTGATGCCTGTACGGAGGCATGTTGGGAGCGGTCTCGGGTGAGCGGAGACGGGACCATTGGCACGGCAGTGCAATGCTTCCAACCATGAAATGTTTAACCCTCTGCAGACTTTAGTGAGCTTTCGGTGGGTCAAGCCCTAAAAACTGGTGTGTTGTGTTTCCGTGTTTCAGCTTGCGCAACCGTAAAAAGGTGAACCCTCTGCGGACTTTGGGTGGGTCGACCTTCAAAAGCGCGCGGCTCTTTGCATTTGTCACTTGCGTGGGCTGGAGAGAAAGAGAGAGAGAGAGAGAGAGGGAGAAAAATAAAACTAGACCACGGTTGGCCCGAAAGCATAACATCGCAAGCGAGGTCGGCCCAACGCTGCAGGATGCGTTCTTTTTCCCTCCACGAAGCATTTGTGAAGCAAGCGCGGGACAGCACCAGGCAAGGTGCTCTGCGCAAACTGGTCGGTGCAAGTTGGTCTGCGCAAGTTGCTCTACGCAAGTTGCACTGTGCAAGTTGCTCTGCGCAAGTTGCTCCGCGCAAGTTGCTCCGGCAAGTTGGCCCCTGCAAGTGGCTCCCTGCAAGTTGCTCTGTGCGAGTTGCAGTGTGTGCAAGTTGGCGCGAGACAGCACCAGGCAAGGTGCTCTGCGCAAACTGGTCGGTGCAAGTTGGTCTGCGCAAGTTGCTCTACGCAAGTTGCACTGTGCAAGTTGCTCTGCGCAAGTTGCTCCGCGCAAGTTGCTCCGGCAAGTTGGTCCCTGCAAGTGCTCCCTGCAAGTTGCTCTGTGCAAATTGCGCTCCCTGCAAGTTGCTCTGTGCAAGCTGCTCTGTGCAAGTTGCTCTGTGCAAGTTGCTAAGTTGCTCTGCGCAAGTTGCTCTAGGCAAGGCGCTCTGCGCAAACTGGTCGGTGCAAGTTGGTCTGCGCAAGTTGCTTTAAAATGCGAGTTGCATCTTGCGACGCCCGCCCGCGGACCAGGGAGGAATCGAACCCGCAACCAGCCGGCCCGGGAGCAGGCGCGCGAACCACGAGACAACTCCCGAGGACCAGTTCGAACAACAAAAGTCGCAAAAAACCTCGAGTTTTTGCACCTCGACCACGCCGATCCCCGCAGAGGGTTGCGCAGGCACCACAGAAATCGCAAAAAAACCTCGAGTTTTTGCACCTCGACCACGCCGATTCCCGCAGAGGGTCGCGCGGGCACCGCAGAAATTGCAAAAAACCATGGGTTTTTGCACCTCGACCACGCCGATTCCCGCAGAGGGTCGCGCGAGCACCGCAGAAATCGCAAAAAAACGGGTTTTTGCACCTCGACCACGCCGATCCCCGCAGAGGGTCGCGCGAGCACCTCGACCACGCCGATCCCCGCAGAGGGTCGATTTTCGTGTAGTGTCGTCGGCACTACCCCGCCGCCCTAAGAAGAGATTTTAACTCCTTGCAAGTCAATTGCACTTGACTCCTTGCACTTGCGACTTGCACTTGACTCCTTGCACTTGCAACTTGCACTTGACTCCACGCACTTGCAACTTGCACCTGACTCCTTGCACTTGCAACTTGCACTTGACTCCTTGCACTTGCAACTTGCACTTGACTCCATGCGCAGCTCGCAATGACTCTCATGACTCCTTGCAATGACTCCTTGCAATGACTCTTGCAATGACTCCTTGCAATGACTCCTTGCAATGACTCCTTGCAATGACTCCTTGCAATGACTCCTTGCAATGACTCCTTGCAATGACTCCTTGCAATGACTCCTTGCAATGACTCCTTGCAATGACTCCTTGCAATGACTCCTTGCAATGACTCCTTGCAATGACTCCTTGCAATGACTCCTTGCAATGAATGACTCCTTGCAATGACTCCTTGCAATGACTCCTTGCAATGACTCCTTGCAATGACTCCTTGCATTGACTTTCATGATGATGATTCCTTGCAATGACACCTTGTAATGACTCTCATGAGAACAACTCAAGTGAACCCAGCGGAAGAACCCTTCGCCATGCTTTCGGGAAAACAAAAAGAGAAAGGAAAAGAGAACGAGAAAGAGAAACAGAAACCCATCGGAAGTTTGCCATTGCGAGTTTCCCATTGGAGTTTTCCCTTTGGAACTGTCCCTTTGAACAGTTTCCCTTTGGAATTCTCGCATTGGACTTGTCCCCTGGAAATTTCTCTTGGACATGACTTTTTGAGGCCAGCTTCCCTTAGATGATCTGAAAAGGGTCCCACATTCAGTGCAAACTCGCATTGGCGGACGCACCAAAGTACAATACCTTCATTTGCCACTTTAAGAGTCTAAGAGCTTTCGAAGCAGTCGCAAGATCAGCGATTGCCAATAAGTGCATTTTTCTGCATGCGTTCATCCACTAGGATCGTCAGGTTTTCAGCCATTAACACGTTAAGCCACTATGATTCAAAGATTTTAGGGAAATAATAGAAAGAACAACAAATAGCAACATATCAAAAACAGAAAGAGGAATATCAATTAAAGGAGAAAGCGAAAGAGCCAGAGAAAGCTAAAAAAACCAATGTAGAACAAAGAAGAAACACTAAGAGAAAGACAAGGGAAAACAAAAACGAAGAACAAAGAAAGAGAAGGAGAATAGAAAGCGAAAGAGAAAGAGAACGAGAAAGAGAACGAGAAAGAGAAAGAAAAGGGAAACAACACGTGCTCCAAACTGTCTGCCGGACGTGTCTGGCATGCGGGTCATGTTCTTGTTCCCTAAAGAGGGAAGCAAGGAGAAAAAAGGCGTGTGTGGAACATGTTCGTCGTGGTTGCCTGAGGAGGAATCCTTCCGGAAAAGACTCCTTATGTGCGTCCTGATGTCGTTCACTATAGAGGAACCCTTACAATGATGAATCCTTTTGTGAGTCATGCTGTCGTGGCTTGAAGAGGAAAGCGCATACTTTCTTTGAACCGAACTCCTTGTGAGAAACACGTCGTCATGGCTTCCTTGAGAGGAACCGACGAACCCGTTCCATGACAAGGTGTGGAACGCAGGAACCCGTACAATCAAAATTCCCTTCTGTGGAGCATATTTCCGTCATGAAGGAAACCAGTACCCTCCAGATTCTGTTTGAGAAACATGCTGTGGTTTCTTATGTTTCCTATGGTGTCGTGCCTCCCGGAGGAACCCTCGCAAGAATGCGGGTGTCTAGTTTCCCTGACCATCCCTGGCTTGACCATGGCACAAATGGCTATGGGCAACAAGAGCTGTTTGGACCCTGACACGAGACCTCCGCAAAAGGCAAATCCGAGTTGATCTGAGCTCCTTTATTCGGTGCGGCGGATGGTTACAAGCTTGAAGCAACCCTTTCCGCAGCAGGTAGAAACAAAAGGACACAAGTCCAGAACCTGTCACTGAATCTCAAGGTAAACACTCATGCAAAAGAAGGCCTTGCCTGGTAAGTGGAGCACTCCCATCCCCAGCCAATCTTTGTCTACTTGGGATTGGTGACCCTCCCACTCCGAACAATGGGGTGTTTCTCCTTTTCGTGGAAAAATGGGTGTTTCTAAAAATAGGGGACCTCAACAACGCCTGCTTCCGGTTAGTTTCACCTTTCTGAGCCTCCGAACTAATCCGAAGTGGACACTCGATCGGAATGTCAGGGTGCCATGCACAGGGTGGTCGGCGGTTGCTTCATAGAAAGTAGCGAAGGATTTTCGACAGGAAATTGGCCAAACACATCTAAACACCCAAAACATGGACTCGCTTCGCTGTAGCTGGCTTCTTAGAAACGGTAGACTAGCCTAAAAAGAAAGGTTCTCGGGTAAACATGTCCAGTGGCTGGCTTCGTGGCAGCCTCTAGATACATCATCCAGGCAACCCTATGGCGTTGACCTGACCCGTTGTGTCTGGGTTCGTCCATTGGGGGGGGTCACATCCAATGTCTTTGGGCAGCTCCAAGTGCTCCAAGCCTGCCCAGAGCTCCAACGAAAACATGTGTTTCAAGACAGCGGGTTACAGGAGTAGCCGCAAAGAAAGGGATCCAGACATTTGATTGCCGATACGTCTACATATATATATACACACATATGTATGTACGTATATAATACACATTGTAGACTTGGAAAAAAGAAACCTAAACCCAAGTGCCATCCTTACAGTCTCAAGTCTAAACTCTGCCCAACCTGCGAAAGCTGCCCTCCACTCCAGAAATGCAACAGCCCCCTGCCCAGAACATCGCCTCGCAGGCCACCTTCTGGAACCTTCGCTCCAGTGCCGAGTCCTTCTCGATGTGCTTGGTGTACCTGCGGCCAAAACGGCGTACATCCCGTCTGAGAAAGACACCCATTGGGAGCTTTGCCGCAAAAGGGGTCAAAGGCACAAAGAAATGGTCGGCTCCGTTCCGATGGCTTGGAAATCGAAAAGGTCCAATTGTACTCCGGGAGAACACCGAAAGGGATAAAAGGGGAACCTTCTCCGACCGCCCCCTTTCTCCAGGTCCCCGCATGGCCATGGTCCAAAGGCCTTCACTTGCTGAAACCGAGGCCGGAGGCCTCTCTCCACGAGTCCAACCTTCCGCTCCCATTGGGCCATTGGGCGCCCCAATGGGGCATCGGGGCCGCGAGTTGGACACGTCTCGCCCGCTTCTCTCAGGACCCATGGAACCATCAACCGGCCTCAGCTTTGTCTTGCTGCTGCTCAGCAGGGAACAAGAAATGGCATAAACCCCAAGATAAACCATCCGACTGGTGGTTTCCTTTCAGGGAATCCCCAAAACCGGCTCATTCCACCAACACCCCGGCTCGCAAAGTCCTTTCCCTATCGCACGCGACCAAAAAGAGGCGCACTCGTCCACGGTGGTGGCGCCGATCACCTCGAGAAAACGTGCGAGAACGGGTGGAACCCAAGTCTTCAAGCCAACCAATCGAGTCTATCGCTTGGGTTCCATCCGAAGGAGTCTTTAGTATTTTCCACTTTTCAGCTTAAGTTCTAAGTTGGAGCCAACCAGGAAAGCCAAAACACGATAGCTTGAAGGCTGCAACTCCCCCGAGTTTGACCGCCCCCTACTGCAAACCCCCACCTCATCCCCACTACACTCGCCTGGAGCTCGCCCCGCGCCAGAGAAGGCTTCAGCAGATTCGCCGCGTCCATGGAGGAGTCGGCGCCTGCGAACCCGTCGGCTCGCAACGCGTCGGCACGAAACCTTTTGGATTCCTTGAGAGGCCCAGAAGATTAGCTCAAACCTTTGAAGCCCGTAGGGAAACCATTGAAAAAACGAAAAAACGAAAAAACGACCTACATGGTACCAGTTTCCCAAGCCCTTGTCGCAGCGAATCTCTCTGGGCACAGGCCTACAGGCCTACAGGCCAACATGAGCCCAGGAGCCGTCGGTTCAAAAGAGAGCGAAGCTCCTTGGAATCAGAGGGCTCCCAACGCGCGCAAAATCGAGCAACTCATTCTGGCCTTCAAGCCCCTCAAATGCGTCTCATGCTCAGTTTCAACCGTGTGGCCAAGCCCCGCCCCTCTTAAAACAGGACAGCTGAAGGGACCGACTGGTTTGGACAAGAAAATGAGACACGGACTGCATTCTCCCCCGTTTTTTGTGTGGGGAATTTAGGTTGGCAACCATGTCCTCCCAACCTACAATCACCAAGCAATGATATGACCTGCCCGTATGCTAGAGTAGGCCAGTGAGGCTATCTGTTTTGGACCAACTTTGGCAAGAGTATACCCTGCACCAATTAACGACTCTGAGACGGTCGAAGCAGAACATGTGAGCAGCCCAATCTTCCGAACTTCAGCGAATAGGTCAAATGTCTCCTGCAGAAACGGCAGTCCAACAAAATCCTCTGAAGAGAATCTCACAATACTCTACAGAGCACCACAAAAAAGCCAGTGAAACTACTGATAGCTGTCAAAACAATATGTACAGGTATCCTGCAATGAAGATCCCTCCACCTTTTCAGCTTGAAGCTGTCAAAGGAGCATCGGTTGAATGGGTGCTTTCTAGAGATAGGGGACCTCTCCGAGCCACTCGTCCTAGTCGAGTGCTGGTTTCGGACCCTTTCCCTTTCCGCTGAGATCCTCTTGCTGGCTCTCGGGCCAAACAGAATGACCCCAAACCATCCCAAATGGATCACTCCCAAGCCGTTTCCGAGCGCTTCGTGTTTTTTTGGGGGAATGAAGCGAAAGGTCCGAGTCTTTCCGTCCAAGAACGGGTTTCTTGGCGCCTGCAGCGCCTGCACCCACGATCTGGTGGATCCTCGGGGCACAAAGCAACTAACCTTTGCTGGGGCTCCGCGCTTTCATGTGGGACCACAGAGTGGCCCGTCTTTTTCTACAAACCCACACTGTGTCCTTTTAGCTTTCCAACAATACAACAAGCAAAAAGGGCATGCGAGAAAAAAAAAAAAAAAAAAACGATTTCACACCAGGGATCCAACTACTTTTCACACCACTTGGAAGGCAACACAACGGCCGGGATCCTTTGCTCTCACCGCGTTGGAAGGTACCATTGTTGAGCCTACCTTTCGAGGCCAAGTCCCCTAACCGATCGTGGCAACTCTCCACCGTCGCACTTGGCATCTCGTCAAGTCCTAAACACGCGTTTCTGGCTGCGCAATGGCCGCTGCTTGTACTTGGAGGCTTGCGTACTCACTAGTGTATCCTAGTATCTTCCCACCAACCACCGCAGAAGCGCAAGGGCACTCTTTCAAAATGAGAGCAGCCCTTCAAAGGGGTTTGCGCACTTCCGTGTTTTGTTGGTAAGCGCGCTATGCACATATGAACTATTGCAAATGACCGGAGCCTCCCACCCACTAACACAGAACCTGACGCAAGCCCATTCTGAGAGGCATACGGGTTCCATGTTGGTAACTCGGGAGGGGCGCCGTTCACGGAAATTGTGTAAAACGCCGACGCGAATCATCACGCAAAGAAACTCAGCCAAAACATGTCCATTACACGTCCGCATAAACAGCACTAGGTGCTGGTATCTGTTCACCTTAATAGAGAATGCAAATGTCACATGTCCAATCAGGATGATGCAGGCCTGTCGTCTGAGCAGCGTGGTCCGTCTTGGCTTCCCGCATGATGGCTGACAGAAGCCCAGAAATGAGGCCTTACCGAACTGCCCATCTCCTTCAGGCTTGGTTTTGCAAAGCCTAGATCTATTATTTGCTCTCAGAAATCAGGCCAACACAGCGTTTCTACACACACAGCCCATGCGGCAGTGTATCACATACGAGTTCTATAAATCCCACAACATTGTGAAAATTTCAGGCCATACCTTCGCCCAAAGAAGTGGAACATGGTCAAAGAAGAGAGGTTTCTGCAGGTAACCAGCAAGCCAAACTCCTGTATGTAATGGGAAACTATCCTGAAAAACATGGTCAGCAACCCGTGCCGCCTGCCCTAGTGGACCTGATCCTTTGGGTTCCCAGCTCGTCGATGAAGAGGCAAATGTCCCTTGCATCATCCGTCACCTCCTTAATCACCTTCTTCAGGCCTCGGCACCGGATGAACACTTTCTCGCTTCGTTTCGTGGCCTACCGTGGATGGTCGCGAAATCCGGTTTGCACCACGAAATGAAGCCATGGGTGAAACCATAAGGTTTGTTGATTCTTACAGGGGAATCGAATCATTCCAGGGCTTCTGAAAGGTGGTGCGAGCTGTTGGATTTCGCAACCATCCACAGCACGGCGTCCTTTTTGGCTTCCCAAAACAGGTCGTCGCCCATTTTCAGAAAGCGGGACCCTTTGGACTCTAAGAGATGTGTCAAATTCCGTTTGGAGAAATCCCAAGCAATTTCAAACAGTTTGAATGCCACAATCACATTTTTGTGGAGGGGGCCCCCAAACTCAAGACAGCGACTGAGGTGGAGATGCACGAAAACACTTTGCCAACCTTTTGGAAGCCAACCTTTTGGGAGCCAACCTCCTGGTTCTTCCAGGTATGGCTAAAACCTAGTTGCGCCGAAAATCTCAAGGCCCAGGGCAAACCAACCGCTGAGAGTCACCCTCCGAGATCGCCACCGAAAACTTCGGATTCGATCACAGCTGAAGTTACGCCAAAGGGAAAATAGATGGCGCAGTTCCCTTTTTGCGGCTACGTAAGGGGGATGGTAAACTCGAAATGGGGATTGGGCCATCTGTTTCAACCAACTGTAGGGATCTGGCAGAGTAGGAATGGGCCCTCAAGCTCAACGTAAGTAGCAACCAAAGTTAGGCACCCATATGGCCATGGGTCAAAAGCCCGTTCCCCCAGTGAACATCCCAATCCCCACTAAAAAAAACTAAAATGGGTGGTGCACCTACCCCAAACTGGTACCATTGGTTTTGACCCACAGCCATATGGTTATGAACTTTAATAGGGACCCACCTCAAAAGAGGTTGGTGCACATGAATCCCCACCTAAACGATGTCCACCCAAGGATCGCCCATTAAAATGTCCTCTCTGAGTCGAATCCAAAACATGGTACCAAGACCAACAAAATAGAAACATGAGCTCCCTATTTCCCTTTTGTCTGCTTGTGGTTGCCCTAACATCAGTCATTCAGTCATCAATCATGCTTTGCCCAAAGATGAGGAAACCCTGACACCCTTAAATCAGTCATTGCCCGTCAGTCGGACAAATGTTGGTCGAATCAAGGAGCAACTCCTGCCCCGCATATTTTTTTCGGGCCGAAATCTGTCGGCCAGGCACCTGCTCAGACGTGTGCAAGCCTCCGAATACTGCATCATACATTGGGCTTCCTTTGGGGTCATGGCCAACTTTGCCCAAAATGTGTCTATGAACATCACATTCCTTTTTCAACTGGGTGAGAGTAGATGGCACAATTCCCCCCACAAACACTTGCACCATCCATCTACTTTCACCCTAGAGGCAAATCACCGCAAGGCGCGCTGGGCCCCGCTGCGATCCTCGAACTCTCCGCGGTATTTGGTGCCAGCCTCGGCCAAACGCACGGGGGCAAGCGTGACCCGACCTCGAGAAGTTCAACAGTGCACATGGGACAAAAAACAAATCGCGGTGTGAGTGAGTCCCCATGTGCATCTCCCAAATGGACCATGCCATAACCGGAGATTCCACCGAAACATCCCACCAAAAACCGGGATTTCGGAAGTTGAGGCTGCAGCCACCAGCTGGCCCAAGTCCAAGGAGTAGAGCTGCTTCCCTTTTAACCGCGCCGGCACCTGTCTGGAAAAGCACGCCAGATGTTGGAGGGGTGTTGGATCTATCTGGTGTAGGGGTGAGGTCAACGTCCAATCCAGGATCCAGAGATACTGTGGATGGACAAAATCCGCTTCGCACCAGCGACTCAGCTACCAGTTGGGATTGAGGAAACCCTACTGGTTGATAAGCCTAAGCCACCAAACTTGGCCCATCCACTGCTCAGTCCGGAAAACTGCAACGTATGACATCAATGACACCTGCGCAAGGGTTGCGCCACACTATCTTCCCTCCCACAAACCGTGACCTTGGTAGGAAGAGCTGCAAGTCTCTGACCTAGTACCTGGACACCGCTTTTGGTTAAAAAGCATGGGCCCTAAAACTCCATACTTTCGGTTGCGTTTCGCGAATGTAAATGGCCCAAAAATGCCTGCCAAAAAGGTGGAAGGTTAACCTTTTGGGGCCATGACTAAACATAGACCAAAAGGGGAAAATGAACGCCTTAAAAGGTCGATTCGCTGTTGAGTGAGCAAACAACAAAAATGGCTGTATCCAGCACCCCCAACTTTTCTGCTTTGCCCAAGCACTGTCTCCAAAAAGCAGTTGTTGGGTGCTGGATTAGCCCCTGCTCATTTCATGAGGGTGCCCAAAACGGAACTCTGGTAAATGGAAGCATGGACGAAAATCTGCGGTCCCCTGGTTTAAGCTTGTCCCACACTCATATTAACGCCCATTGTTTTTCATGGTTGTGTTGGAATCAGCCAAAATCAGTAGATGAGGGGATTTGGACACGGATTTTGGACATGAACAAAAAGCATCAGACAAGTTGGGCCAGCGCGAGCAAGCGCTTCGGCGCGCCTGGCCCTGGGCTATGCGCTGCGCGAGGCCCTCCACTACGGCGGTCTTTCCCACACCCGCAGGGCCCACCAGGCAGGCGTTGTTCCTAGGTCTATAGAAATTGGTTTGGAGAGGCTCAAGCCTGCGTTTCCAATCCCAAAAGCCAAAGTTGCGACTGAAACCTGGGCCGCAAAAGTGGTTTCGCCTTCCCCAGTTGTTTTGAGGCTACTTTTTCCTTGGCAGGCCAAAAGCAAAACACCACCCCCCCCCGGTTTGGGAGGGGGAAAGGTGTCCCGGTCATCCTCGAGTCCGTTTGAATTCGTTTGCGCCGATCTTTCGCCTCTGGGGCTTCGGCTTGCGCTTGCGCAGCAAGATCTGGATGATGCGCTCCATCTCCTCCTGGCGGCCTCCAAAGCCAACGAAAAACCAACGCCCGTGCTGAGGCGAACGCTTGGGGCAGAACAAAAGGGTTTCAGGACATGAGGGGGAGAGGGGTGGGGCGTCCCCAACTCCATTTATGTAGTCTTCACCCCCCCCCATTTTAAAAGGGATTGGGGATGCTTCCGGCTTTGTGTCTTGCTTTCTTGCCGGTGCGAAAGGAAGGGAATGAGAAATGGAATGACCCATAGAAACCATCCCTTCTGGCTTCCTTGAAAGGGGACCCCTGGGTTCATTCCCAATTTCCCTACTTGTCGCACCAGCAAGTCTTCCTAGAAAACCAGCGGGTTGCTTTCTGTCTGGCAACGAGCGGCCCAGCCTACTACTGGGTCCAAGAGCCCATCCATGGCCATTTGCCTGGCGAGAGCCAAGTGTCTGACAAGCCTTATCCCAAGGGCCACAAAAAACAAGTTTGCCAACTTGCAGATATTCCCACACGGTCTTCTGGACATTGTCTTTCTGCACCATTTAAGTAGATTTGGGCGTAAGAGCTAAAGAAAGAAATGAGAATGGGATTGAAGGGTACTTTAAGACCCAATTGTTTGTCGGGGAATCCTCCTGCACCACGATTGGACCCTTTGCAGTGCTCCCTGCACCACAAAGGAGACTCATCAAAAGTAGCCCCCAAAAGGTGATGCGCTTTAAGGGGCTCAAAATAGAGATCGGGCCCCCCCAAGGAAGGGTGGTTTTCCCTTTGGTTTCCCTTTAAAGCCAACCTATAGAGGGGGTCCCCTGACAAGAAGGCATGCCCACATAGAGATGGGATCCCTGTGGATTCCCCCGCTGCACCGGAACCCCCAAGCTGTGCCCGGCGTGCGTAAGGTCAGTGGCAACCTGGTCCAGCGTCAAGTCGGACTCAACCTTCTCGTCGGCCTTGGGATGAAAATGTGCGAGGCATGCGCAACGCAAAGATCGCAACACTCCTATGCCAAAAAAAGGTCCGGGGAATGCCAGTTGCGCCAAATAGTAGAACAACATGTTGCGCTCTCCCGTCTAGAGCTAAGTGCCATTGCCTTCCGCATCTTCGTATCTCACATGGCGCCAAGTACAAAAAAAAACATGGCGCCCGTCCGATTCACAAAGCCAAGCAGCAGGCCTCCCTGGGGCCCAAAAAATCCGGAAAAAAAGGGGGAGGGAAAAAAAAAACGAAAACCGAGAGGAGCAAGGAACTATCAGATGGTGCCACAAAGAAATTCAAGATGAAACCAAAGAAAACTATCTATGGAGGAGCCGGGAAACGGCTGGAGCATGCAGCCAATAGGAAGCTGTTGGGAAGTGAATACTCTTGAAGGAACTTCCGTTTGGGTTTCTCTTCAAGTAAGGAACCCTTTGTTGGATGGTGTTTAACCCCCCATTTGCTTCAGCACTGGGAAAAAAAAAACAACGACATATTTCGAGAACTTAGTAAATTCCCAATTAAAACCAACAGGGGAAAATAACAATATTCTGAACAGCACCCCCCAACTACTGCTTTCTTCCATGTCCAAAATCCCAAGTAATGATTGTCCAAACACCACTTGTCTAGGGGTGCTGGGAAGCAAATGGAAGTTTCAGGAACCAAGAAAAACAACCTGAGGCCCTGAAGCCGAAGCTCGAACTTCGGCTCCGAGTCGCTTACGCGAAGTCTAGTCACGAACGGTCGCTGAACCTGTTCGCAGTTGGTACCATCCCAAACCGAGATGAAATGACTCTAATAACAACAACAGCCTATTAACCTTCAGTGTCAATTGCGGTACATGTGTATCCTTTTCAATTGTGGAAGCGGAGGTTTGGGGGGTGCGGGTGTTCAGGGGCGTGGCCCAAATCTGGCGCACAAAACGTGATCGTTTCAGGCCCTAATTCATAGGTCGTCTACAACAGAAAAGAGGAGCCTCGGAAAAAAATAAGAAGAAGAAAAAAACGCGGCCTTAGGAGAGAAACTTCGCCCATAGCCATGTCTAGCCCTTGCTTCACCTCTGCGCGTTCTCGCCCTTTGGTACACCAAAGGGTCCCGAGCCAAGGCCGCGGCCCCGACCGCCGCAAGGTTTTGCTCGGACTCCCCGTCAAAGGCCGACCTCGGCGCAACGGCAAGGAAGCGGTGGGGTTTCTGGGGGGGGGGTGGCTGGTGATTGTGGGGGGTCAAGAGAATCCAACAGGATGACCCTTCTTCTCAACGACTTCAAAAGCATCTGTGGGGAGGTACCTGGAAGATCACTTTTCTCTTGGAGGGACCCACTGTTAGGTGCCATGTTCGTGGCAGGAAGGGTACCCTCCCTCCTACCAACATGGCACCGTACAGAGGCTTTTTGAGGAACATGATCTGGCAGGTTCACTCCCACAAATGCTATGAATTAGTGGGAATGGTATCTTGCCGGTTTGGGAGGGATCCAAGTTTAGGACATCTCGTATTGCTTAAGCACACCAAGGGGCAACTTCCCGCGTGTCTGTGTTCCAATCAGCCATCCAGCCCAAATCGAAGGGCTACTCAAGCGCATGCGCACTATTTCTTGAGTTTGGCTTTGCAAGTGGGCATCTAGCCAACTCCACGCAACTGCATGAATTTGTTGTCTGGCAGCATATCCAGTGCTCATGGGGACCTTCGGGATGTATTAAACATGGCTTGCTATAGAGTTATGTCGGGTAAGTTTGGGGCTGGTTTGAAGGATAGGTTGGAGCTGATTCAGGAACACACACGGAGTGTAGGGTTGAGTTTCGCTGTGTTGAGGATGGATTTCAGGTAGGATTACGGCCGTTGGTTTCCGCTCAGAAGGCCAGGGTGCAGTGTTGCTTCGGGTTTAAAATGGTCAAAGGGTTGCTTGCTGCAGGAAAAACAAAAGGAACACTTTGTGTTGCGGGGGTGGGGGTCCGCCAAAACATGACCCACTCGTATGTGCCGTTCAACCTCATCTGAGTTTGGGGAGGGGGGGGAATGAAGTGGTGTCAAAAACCACAAGCTTGCATTTCATTCACTTACTCCAACTTTAGGATGGCGTTTGGTCGCAACTTGAAAAGATGAGACCCACAAGGACCACTCGGCTCATCCCCAGAGCCCCTCCGAACCGGCTCCAGTCAAGGTCGCTCCCGGAATTGGTTGGGAACCTCAAAACTCCTAGCTGAAACCAAGATAAACCTCCATGCTGCTCGTCTCATGTGTACAAGGTCTGCTCGTTTGCTCCAAAAGTGTTAAAATGGTCATAATCCCAGAACCATGCTTCAAGAAAGAAAGGCGGATATCCGCACCCAGTTATGGCAAGGGGATTACCCCTTACTAAGTTTCCTCTAGTGAGATGGTCTGTGAGGAATCGCTAAATGGCTAGTTGGTTGTAACCCAGTCATGGTTGTAAGTCCCCTACCAGGGTTAGTGAGTCCTCCCACCCAGACCATCTAAGTGGACTTGACTTACTGGTTCCCAGCCATTCAACTCCTTTCTTGTGGTTTTGCGTTGGCTTGGTGGTTGCCATTTAACCCACAAGCTACACTGGACTGCTCCTCTCCCAGAAAAAGTCCAAGCCTTTTGTTCAACACTAAGATGGTCTACCCATCAGAGCTTCAAGTGCAGGAACTCAAGGACTGAGCCAAGTTGACGTTGGTGTCACGCCGGGCTGCAATAGCATCCGGGAGACTATCCAAAGATGATACGCTTCAGCACGTGGCGCCGTGGCGCCGTGGCGCTGACGACCCGAGAGCCGAAGTCGCGACGCCCAGAGCTCCGGGCATCTGCTGCTGCACCGCCACGCGCAGCTCGCTCCCCGGCAGGCCCAGGCCTGGCGGGCTTCTGCCCTTGGGCCCTTGGGGGGGGGGCACCCAAAGAATTGTTTGTCGTCCCCACAAAAGGGGCCACCAAAAAAGGCGAAAAGGACGACACACCTTCAGTAATAGAAAATGAGAGGTGAAATATGAAGCGGATGAGGGAACAATAGGACGACATAAGCCTGGAAATCAAGCTTGAGAGCCGGATGTCTTTGGTCTGAAAGGCTGTGAGGAAATCTATGAGTGGCGCAAAGGAGTCGTCGCAAAGCCGTATGTTCTGCGGTTACGACTCCTAACATGTGGCCATGAACCGTGGGTCATGGTTACTCAATAGATACCTTATGTCAAAAACTCCCTCTTCAAACGTCCATGCCCGCCAACCCGAGGCAAAATGCCGTCCAAATGAATCGCAAGAGCTTCTTGCTTGAAGAATGCCCCCGAACAACCTACCCAGATGTTGGCTGGAGCTCGTCGGATTAAAACGAGTGGGATTACAGTCCATCTGGGGTCGTAAGATCAAAGTTTACGTTGAACTTTGAAGTGCAAGTGTTGCAGGAGCTCCAGACTGAGCCCAATATGTTCACAGGATCTTCAAAACAATGACAGCAAATACAAGTTTCAAAACAAATGGAAGCTTGGTGTTGGTGGAAGTTCGCATTTTCCATAGAGGTGCACTTGGGTAACGGGTTGAAAGCCATCCTGTCACGAACTGCAAAACGCATCGGACCCGAATCAATGCTTTGCCACTTTTTGGTGTCAGGCTGTCAGGCTCAGGTCACTTGTGGCCACAAATTATGTCTTTCAGTGTTCCCATTTCGGGGTTGCGATTCTATGTTTTCACAAATTGAGATAGATCCCTTTGAACAAAAAACAAATCAGAGCAGGAAAGGCAAAGCGCACATCCGAATTTGTGTGGCCCTTTTGGTTCACCCTGAACTTTGGGAGGCCAAAGGAAACCAACGTTTGGCCAAATTCTAGCTTTAAGCCCCAAGAACGGAAATTCAAAAAGTTCGGGCCAGACTTGGACTGCAAAAAGGTGAGCCTTCTGTCCACGAACCTGACTGAGGGGTCCTGGAAGACTATGTTCCTTTAGAACGGACCCTCTGGTGTGTTAGTGGACCACGTGAAACTGAATTTCAGCCCTTAAAATCCGTTTCGGCTTTGCGTTGAAGGGGCCCAAAAAGGCGCTTGAATGGAAAGTCGTGCGCCTGCCAGCATCTTTGCGCCGCCACACTGCGCCAACGAGGGCTGGCCTGGGTATCCGAGGGGATCCAAGGGTTCCATCCCTCCCTGGCAAAAACGAGAAACAGCAGTGGTAAATTCCGCTAAAACACCAACAGGGGCAAATATAACAGAAGCAAATGGCAGCATCCCTCTGGCTCCTCCCGTAGGGTTTCATCTCTGAGGTCCGTGAGCCTCGGCTCCCCCGCCCAGTGCCAACAGCAGCTGCTCGCAGCCAATCTCCGTGGAGCCCGCGCTCTCGACCTTCGACGATTTCTTTTGAAAGGAAGCCAAAACGAAACCGCCGATGTTTGTGTCACCCCCCAACCCCCGTCTCCCCCTTGAGCATTCTCATAATTGTCCATATCTTCAGAGTCTGTTTCATATTTCATCAACCTTACGACATATGACATACATTCTGTGTACAGTCTACATATTTCGAATGGGGTGGGGTGCTATAAACCAAGTTGCCTCATGATCATGACGGAATGTCGGTAGTTATTGAGCCGCTTGTATTACCTAAGTGGTTGGTAACCATAGTTGCAACCAAAGAAGCATGGAACTCGGCTTCGACAATTTAACTACTAAATCACCTGGAAAACTATCCTCATGATGGTGAAGGAACCACCGGGACCCGAAAGGTGACTTTTGGGGAGCCCTCACATTGTTGATCTCTTACACGACCCAGCATTAGGTGTTTCATACATAGGGACCCCTCCCTTTTGCATGAGCCACGATCATGATGGAAATGTAGTCACCCAGGTGTCAAATGGAGTTTCCTGGTGTGAAAAACACTCAGTTGCGGAAACGATGGCAAAACAAGATGTAATGTTATTGGTCAATCTAGGTGCGTCTTTTCATGTCAAAATCCGCTTTTTTGGTGTTCAACAGGAAGCATGTTATATAGAGTCCCCTAATTTTCAGACAAAGCCTTCTCTTTTTGAAGGGTTTGGATTTCTCCCGAGGTTTCTCAGGTGTCAGAGGGAACAGAGTGGGAAGGACGGCAGAAGGAACTGGGAAGGGCAAGTGAGAAGTATCTGTTGTGGATAGACAAGCCATGGTAGGTAACCCTTGGCCATTGTCCTTTCCCCTTGGCCATGGTAAGTTTCCTTCCGTGGTTACCTGCTACACGCATACCAGGCCTTGTTGATTGGGTTCGCTTGGGTGAATGAGGGTCAAGGGCTGACCAAAATCTGACCAGTTGGCTTGGGGAATTTAAACAGTGGGTTGGTCGGGCTGAATTTCCAAAACCCCTACCATTCCTTGAAGTTCAGCTACCGACTCAGAACTCCTAAAGATCACATTGGTTTCATTTTGGAATCCCTTTCCTCCGGCCAACAGTGAGTCACCTTGGTAAAACCCCCCCTCCCCCCGAGCGAGGCGTCCAGGCGTTGGCGGTGTCAAAGAGAAGCCGGGCGTTGTCGCTGAAGGGCAGCCCCCCGTTGCCTGGCTGGCTGCACGGAATGGGACACCTGATGAATGAAACTACATGATCGTGTGTAAGATGTATATGTATAATATGTAGCCGGTTGCGTCTTGCTGTCTGTCTTTGTTCATGTTACTTGTTTGTTTATCGTGTCACTTTTATCTATTTACTTATTTGTTAACTTGTTCATTTAGGATCTATGTCAGTTGTTTCTTTATTTCGGAATTTATTCCTTCCTCTCATTCCTTCCTTCCTTCCTTCCTTCCTTGCTTGCTTGCTTGCTTGCTTGCTTGCTTGCTTGCTTGCTTTCTTTCTTTCTTTCTTCGGTCTATCCGTCAGTCCATCCATCCATCCATCCATCCATCCATCCATCCATCCATCCATCCATCCATCCATCCATCCATCCATCCATCCATCCATCCATCCATCCATCCATCCATCCATCCATCCATGCATGACCCCCGGGCTTGTTGGGCTTCATGAGCCCAGCTGAAGTTGACAAGAGGCTCGCAGCCACGTACACTTGAAATTTAGGGGGTCCCATGGCGGGACATTGAGTGAGCAACCAAACAGACGATACCCTGGATATGTTGACCAAACCTGAGGAGCCTAGATAAGCGCTCCGTTTGCAAGACGAAGTCCCAAAGCCCTCAACCCTGGGAAGCCTCGTGCTTGACTCATGGCCACGGACTTTTGTGCTACTCTTCACACAGCGCCGGGGGTCAAGGCCAAGCCGCAGACTCAAAGAGACACGGGCGGCTGCTGTTCCTTCCCATTTCAGCAGACCTGCTTCTCTTGCTGTTGCTCAGTAGGGAATGATCCAAGGTGTTGGGAATGAACCTAGGGATTCCCTAAGTAACCACAAGGGATGGCTCTTTCCCTCATTCCCTGCTGAGAACCAGCAAGTTTTTTCACAACCGAAGCTCCAGAGGCACCCGTTTTCTCCGACGTGCCCCGCGAGCCGTGCCGGATTGCCCTCCCAGACATGGAGCCCACCTTCACGATGCGGGAGTCCCATGAAGATCAAAGGGCCCCTTTCGGGACTCCTTGACTCAACTTGATGAACTTCCATCAGAACTTGGTTGTCAAGGGCTTTTCTGGCGGGTTCCTTCTGGGCAGCAGGGCAACTGTCAGAGATCTCGTGAGGTGAAGCGTTGGGCATCGCCTTTCCTGACATGTTGCCACCTTCTGGCAGTCCGCACATGTCTGGATCTTGGGTGGCCATGTTGCTGTAGCCACTCAAACTGCCAACGTCCTCCAAACTCCTCCAACCTCCTCCAACCTCCTCCGATCTCCTCCGATCTCCTCCGATCTCTTCCGAGCTCCTCCAAGCTCCTCCAATCCTCCAACCACCTCTGGTCGCTGTTGGCTTCCGACCGTTTTTGCTCCCACCTCGCTGTCGACATCCTCGTTGCCCTCAAAGGCGAGAAGGCTTCTGCGCCAATCCCATAGGCCCCTCCTGGAAGATGCGCTGATCCATCAGCTTCAGCGAACCGCTGAGCGGCTTGAAGCCCATCCTTAGCTCAGCTTCCCTCGAAGCGGTTTCGATCCGGATTGGCGGGGGAAGGTTTGGGGGTGATTTTCCATCAAGAGCTTTTCAGGGGACAAGTCCCCAAACCATCAAAGTTCACCCCGCCAGCGCCAGCCCATGAGCAAACACAACACGGTGCTCTGCTTTGGTTGTCCAAAAGAGAATGACAGCTCAACAATGGACAGCAGGACAAAGCTCACTGGTGCTTTGGAAAAAGGCCACCATTTTGGTTGGACACTGGTTGGAAGATGGCCCCAGTCCCGGCATGAAACAGTTACTCGAGAGCTAAGTACATAAAGGGCTTCTTGACGCTATGCTGGCTTGGAATGTGCTTGGAATGTCCCTGCCTCAACACTTTGCAGGAATTGAAAAGATGAGAGCATCCCGGAAAGAGTGAAAAGAGATTCAGGGTTCCATGGGGCGAGGATAGAGTTGCCAGTGGGGTGGAAATATTACAAGACCATAATCGTTACAGTAGCAAGGATCACTATGGGGTACACCAAAACATCACTGGAACATAGAGCTCACTTTGAGTCCGATGTCATTGGTCACAATCTTGACGGCGGCTTGTATCCGTTGACTTGCTCAGGGTTCCCTGCTGTGGATGGGAATCCACCAGACCAGCTCGACGTAAAAGTTTATCAACCAATATTCATGGGGATTCATCCATCCCCGAGTTGCAGCTCTTGTGTAAGCATCTTTAAACACCCCTTCTTTGAACAACCTCCCTCTGGTTCAACCAAAATAAGGGAGCCCCAACTTGCCCCGAACATTGCCCCACCCTATCTGCAAACTGTATGATTCGAAACCCTGAAAGGATCGAGTAAAGAATCATCATGGCTACTCTACTCGCTCGTTGTTTGCCCCCGAAGCGGTGGAATCACTATAAACAGACCAACTCCGCCTTCATTCCCCGGGATCCGTCGATCTCGCCCTCCGAGCATCTGACCCACAACATCCCGATCGAGGTCCACTCCCGGCGCGATCTCGCGCAGCTCCATGCCCCGAGAGGTCAAGGCAAAAACGCACCTACGGCCATGGGTCCCCCCCGATTTGTTTTTGGATACGTGCCCATTTCGATATGTGGAAAACATCAACCGTTTTCAGGGAATACGTTTGACCACCTGGGTGGTCAGTCATACCCATGGTTTCGCAACTCCTGATTGTTGTCCCTTTCAGGACAAAAGGATTCATGCGGGCCAGTCAAAAGGCTCCACTTTCAGCAGCTGACTTAGAGGATCTTGTGCAGCAAATTTTGATTTTGTTGTGTTTTTGTTTTAAGAAATCTGATGAAATATTGGGAGAAGGGCTGCGGACAAAAGAAGGGAGTCCCACGTGTCCTTTCTCAGGTAAAGGCAAAGCAGGCGTAAAAAAAAGTTTCTCTTAAAATTGAAGACATTTCCAGTGTTGAGCACTTTCAGTTCTTGGAGGGATTCGTCTACTGATCCAAAGGAGGTCAATGCCCAGTAGAACCCCTCTCAAGGTTCCGAGCAACTGGATGCAAAAAGGCAGCCAAAGGGGCCAACAGGAGAAGACCAATCTACGCCCAAGCAGCTCGTGGTTGTCCATCAAGCACAGTGAGAAAGCAATGAGGGGGGCACGCCTCATTTCGTTTCACTGCCCGCAAAATACATCACTGGGAAGCAAACGTTGTACTTGTTGAGCCCTGGACAGTAGTCTTCCCCCGAAATTGGAGGGTAAGTCAAGACAAAGACGCCTCTCTGTGATGTACAACACCTCCTGCTCCCGTTCCATCGCGTAGTCGCCGCTGAAGGTCACGTGCTCAACGTGGTCCAGGAACTTCCGACTCTTGCCCTCCTGCTCGATCTGTAGTCTCCCTCCCTTCACAGGATTCACACTCACCTGGAGGCAAGCGTCGGGCACCGCCAGTTTGCTGAACCCTCTCTTCCCCATTTGACGAAGACGGTTAGCAACTCATGAGTCACAGCTCATCGCCTTGATAGAATTTGTGAACCACATGATTTCCGTGTTATTGCAGAGCACGCCAAAAATTCCCGCCGCTCTTCCAGCGTCCTTACCATCATGAGCCCCCACAACTATGGAGCAATTCTCGGCACTCAGCACATAGTGGGCAATCCTTGCAAACCACGTGAAGTCGTGCAACTCACAAGGGTTGCTCACCATCAGGGTGAGCTTTTGCTTACCTTCTTGCGACAAGCTTGGCATACCAAGCGAAACCAGCCGCCACGTTTAGCCGATCGGGCCTCACAAGGACAACCCGAGGTGTGTCAGCAGTGCTCCAGGGGCTTCCTCCCGATAGAAGGCATCCAAACAGGTATGCAGCAAACAAAAAAAACTAGAGGAAAGAAGAAGAAGAAGAAGAAAAAACGGTTGCCTCCTATCGTGGTGACTGGAAGCATAGTCGTTGCCAAGGCGGGGACTTTCCGCTCGCCCGGCCCGCCTCGAGACCCTCCGCCGTGAAGGTGCCGACAAAGACCACCCGCTTGGCGTTCTGACTGATGTTAATGGCCCCACCGGCGCCAGTCAGACGCCCTCCGAAGCGGCTCCTCAAGCGGAGAAAGGAAACGAGGGGCGGAAATGAGGGCCAAGCTTCCGAGCGCCAAAAGAGAGGTCCATGAGATTGAAAAGCCTTGAAAAGACATACCCATGAGTTAAAAGGCGTTGGCGCAGCCTCAACTGTGCTGAACAAAAAAGCAAGCAAAGAAACAAAGAAACAAACACAAATAATTAGAGAGAGAGAGAGATAGAGATAGACACAGACAGAAAGGCAGACAGACAGACGGGCGGGCGGACGGACGGACAAACAGAGACAGACAGACACAGACAGACAGACCGACAGACAGACAGAGAGACGGATGGACGGACAGACGGACGGACGGACGGATCGACGGACGGGCCGGCGGGTGGGCGGGCGGGCAGGCAGACAGACAGACAGAGAGAATACAAACAGACGGACGGACGGACAGACAGACAGACAGACAGACAGACAGACAGACAGACAGACAAACAAACAAACAAACAAACAAACAGAGCCAAGAACCGCAAAGTGATGGCCGGTTGAGGCTGAGCAGAACTTCTACACCGCTTTTGTTTGCCAAATGGAAAACAAAATTAACGGGCTTGAATCCCCTAAACTCCTGGGGTATCCCTTTGCCATCACGTCAAAGGCATCCCCAGGCTCCAGATTGATCTGCCCCCACAAGTTGTCACCGACAATCATCTATCAGCTTCCTTGGTGAGCCCGGCTAGGTCAGTGAGCAAACCCATCCTATAAACCATGGGCTCAAATCTCCCCAATCGAAACCTACCTAATATGGGTGTTTGATTGTACCCATAGGGATCCCAGTAAATCAAGCTAGCTCAAAACAACCATATGGGGCTGTCCAGCCATCTGCTTGTGAACGATTCCTTTTGGCCGTTGATTTGCAGGGTTCAGGCAGCCAAAAAACGGATCCATCCCCCTTCCGCAACCCTCATGAACCTATCCTTTTATTCCCTTATTCTGGCCTCGCAAAGAGAAAAAACAACGTTTAGGCCATAACAAGGGGCTATCCCTTTTAGGGGGTAATTATCCTGATAGCTCATTCCTCTGATTATCCTGTTGTTCCCTTATTTGTTCCCTGTAACCTTTTATGTCGTTTCCTGGTCAAATCCTGAAGTCCTGAGGGGCTTATCCTTGCCCAGGCCCAAGCGCCAGTTTCGCCGCTTAGGCGCAGGTTGATGTTCCCGCGGCGATCCGCCTGCGCGAGGCCCAGAAAAGCCACGTCCAGACCGCCCCCGTCGTAGAAGTCGAACTGGGAGGGCCTGGGTGCATAGGTGTCCTTTTCATGAAATAAATGGGCCTGGCAAATGAAATGAAACCAATCTAAACCAGTGGAACCCATCTATTTCTAACCAAACTTTCCTAAAAAGGATACCTATGCCTGGGAATGTTCTTTGCCCTGAAGGCTATGGGGTCCAGAGTTCAGGCAGCTCAGGTCAAAGGGCTCCGCGAGGGGCCCTTGCTGGTTGGTTTAGCCGGGAAACCCAAAGGAAACCATTGCCCCTTAAAGGAGGCTATCAGGGATGGTATAGGAGCACATTGAAGCCGCTTAGAACATCATCTAAGCCACTGCAGACAGCATGTTGGACGAAGGGGGAACCTTGCGGCTGAAATAATTCGTGGGTCAGGGTCGCCGCAATGTGCAATCCGCTTGCGGCAGCAGGATATAGTGGGAGTTGAAAACTAAGGCTGAAAGTCAAGGCTGGCAAAAACGACACGAACCGGGAAATATGGTTTAGCCTCTGCTTGTCAGCGGCAAAGAAACGGAACCCTCTTCTCTTCCTCTAAAAGCATTCTTGGAGGATCCGTTCATAGTTGTTGGGGGGGAGCAAGCTTCTTGAATGTTCAGCCCAGAGCTCACCACAGCTATCCCAGCTTTCGGGGATGCTTCCCCAGCGGGCCAGCCACCACTTGCTTTGCGCATGGGTTGGTAAAACGGCCTTCGCCTGTTGTTTGCCCACTGTCAGGAAGCTGTCCCATTGCTATAGCCTGCTTACCTGGGTTGAATATGAAGCGGTCCTCTTGGACATGACAAGTTTGGCATGTTCGGAGGAACCAACTACCATAAAGCCATACCACTGCCCTTCGGCTTTTCTTTCAAGCCCGAAAAACAATAAGCCCTCACAAAAAAAGACACGCAAACATCTTCCTACTTTGGCAATTGCAACATTCCCTCCATGGCATGCTTGACAAAGAAATGCCATATAAACGTGGCTTCATACCTTCAGGCCTCCACGTTAGGTTGGAGGGTACTGCCCTGCAGACAGCCAAAAAGCATGCGATTCAATCCTCAAGTAGCGTTCTGACCGTGCCGTCCCATATGAACTCAGCCACTCAGGACGCAAACCCAACCAAACCCCAACCAAACACCCGACCGCGGCCAACCGAGCAGCTGCTCCAGCAGCGCCGCCACGTTCACCGCGGCCCCGAAGTTGGGGGCCCCGCAGGGCACGCCGCCGATGACCCCCGGCTCCGTGGTGAGGGTGACTTGGCCCAAGAGGCCCTCCTCCTGGCACGTTTGGGGCTCACCATAAAAAGCACAAGCGGGAAAAGTGAGAAAAACCGCCAAAACCAAAGAGAGAGGTGCTTTCTTCGTGGAAGATTGGAAAACCGGCGAAACAAAGGAAAGATTCCAACAACTGTCCACTGCTTCCATTCTCCTGGCACACCTGCGCCACGCCCTCGGGTGCCCCGACCCCGACGTTCACCACCCACCCCGCGCGCAGCTCCAGGGCCGCCCGGCGCGCCGCCACCCGGCGCGCCACCGAAGCCGGGGCCGTGGGCGGCGTCCACGGTGTCCGGAGCGCGCAGGGCGTGGCTGAAGGCGGGGTTGTACGGCTCCGCAAAGGTCTGCCAGTGGTAGGCCTGTCAGTTCATTGTTTTTAGCCCGGCCACCAAAAAGGCTGGAGTGGAGATTGGGTCAGGCCTCAACTCGAACCTGTTCAGAGTCTCACACAGGCCTTCGCGGTCAAGTCAGTAAAGCATTTATTTCCTGAAAACGAGCCGCACGCAGCCAAATCGGATTTTTCCGGGGCGCTGGGTCCGCCAACACCACGTGGTCCACCAGTACCCCTGGGATCTTCACCGAGCGCGGGGCCAGCGACCCGGCGGCTGCCAGGCGCTCCACCTCACGGATGTGATCGATCAGGACGTTGGGATGGTCCGACATCAGCTTGCTTTTTTGGGGGGCCAAACACGTGTGTTGCTAAACGGAAAGCTGCAACTCGTTTTTGGCGGGAGCCGGGGTGTACTGCTTTAAAGGGGAACCTTCAACGAAATCGAAAAAGGTTCACAGGAAAACAACAACAAAAACGTCTGGTGTATCCTTTGCGATGCGACGGTAAAAACAAATGAATCGCCCGGCTTTAACTCGGCTCTTTCCAGGGCCCGACTCTTTTGACCCCTCTATGAGGTTGAATTCCCATCCCTGGTTCGAAGTACGCAAACCTCAAGAAATTGTAAATAGAGGATCTGGGCATCACAATAAAATGCACATTATATATATATATATATGTATATATATATATATATATTTATATATTTAAACAAGCAGCCAATCACCATGGCAGTTGAAAAAAATATTATGTATATATATATATACATATCATTGTTCTTCATAATGTGTATCCTGCTGTCTCCAAATATTTCCATCACCATGGTGTCGCCTCAGAACATCTTGAATTGACGAAGAGATATATGACAAGACAGAAACAGCAAGATTGAGAAAGAGAACACAATAGCTAAAACAATCTAATGGTTTACAAGCCAATGATTACGTCATTCACACATCCTATTTGATAATTTAGCCTCGTGGATAACTTTGATGTGCTAAAAGCGAAGCACTTCATGATTCGCTATGTTTGGATTAGATCATTCATGCTGCTCCAATCAAGTTCTGGAACACCATCTCAACCACAAATGCCAATATTCACTTTGCGTTCCGCGGAAAAAAAAGGGGGGAAAAAAAGGAAAAAAAGCGTAGTAACAGGTTCTCTGTAAAACCAACCGGGGAAAACAACTAAGTATGTTTTTTCAGCAAATGGAAGCAATACGCCGCCCAGGCTCTGGGGCGTCCTTCATTCAATCCCCCGCCCTTCCGTCCTGCACCAGGACACGGCCCCCCGAGTTCTTGGTCGCCATAGCGATCGCCAGGGCCTGGCCAAATCGGCTCAGACGAGATCCCGCCTCGAGATGGAAACTGCCCAAGTCCCCGTTCCTCGTCTTCTCCAGTCAATTCCAGCCCAATTCCATGGTGACCGGGGCAAATAGCATGAGTTTGATGAGTAGAAACTGAGGCACTGAATATTGGTGTTTCCAAAATCAGCGGCTCCTGCAGGTGGGTTTGCTTTTCGCGTTCCCTTTCAAGCCACCAACCCCTGAAAAATTGGTGGTGTCCTTTTGGTTCCCTCATGTTCCCTCTAAACCTTTAGAAGGCGACACAGCAATATTGCTTTGCACGGTTTCTCAAAGAGTTCAAGCTTCGAAGCACAGCTCGAGCGCTACAGCTAGTACGACAAATAGTCTCCGCGTTGCACAAGTGCGAATTCACTTGTCCCCAAAATTAACAAGGGCTCCGGCTCGATTGAAAGCTCCCAACATAAGCTTCGCCCGTAAATCAGAAACTGAGCGGAAAGTTCCACTGCTTGGACCCCTCCGGAGTCTCTTTTGGTGTTCAACTGTTTAAGCCATCCGGACTGGTGGAAAATTGTCACAGCTGCATTGGCGCGGCCTCGAGGAACAAGGCCTCCTTCTCCATTGAGACGTTCCTCGCGAAATGCAACGCTCACCCCACAGGAGTTCAATGAGTTGAATGGATTTGCCATGTTCAGTGCAGGATGCTTTCCACTACGCAATTGGGTCTTTCTTAGAATAGGGAGCCGCTTTTGGATGGTGGCTCAAAGAAACCCATAGGCAACCAACCGATTTTGGGGGTCCGCTGTTTTGAGACACAACCAAGACTGTTGCAATTCACCAACATGAATTCAGAAGTCTCCACAGCGGGGTGCTCATTGCTACGCGCCATCAATCGGCGAGGGTATCTACTAGTCAAACAAGACAAGTGCAAAGAACTCTACAAATACCTGGTGTCGGAGCTTCAGGGGAAGAAATCGCGGCATCAGCTGTACCGCTGGAAATACAGTCACTGTTGGATCTATGGCCTTGAGATTGAGGATGCCATCACAGAGATGCAGCGAAGTCAACCCAAGCGCTCCCCTCCCCAACCTTCCGCGTCCATCCGCAAAACAATCCGCCAGGAAACCCATGGAGGTCCGCCGTTGTCCCGCGCAGCAAGGCCACATGCACGGGCCTAGGGACTGACCCGGCCAAATGGGAGTGACGGGATAAAGGAATCAAGAAGAAACTACCCCACTGTTTTGCATACCCATCTAAACGTTAACATTTTTCCCTGATCAGCTTGAGTTTTGGGCCAAGTGTGAAAATATTACCCATCTGGGGTGAGTCGGGTTTTTCAAAAAGATGAAACAGCCAAAATATCTTGCAAGCTCTTCTCAAAATTACACCGCTTGCAGCAAACAAAATCAAGGGGCTTCCTTCAAACCTCAGGCCGCTCGCTTCGAGTCCGAATTCCCCTTGGCCACGGGGCCAGGTCTTGTACGCCAAGTAGGTCTTGCCGTCGAAGTCCAGGCGTTCGACCAAATCCTCGGAGGTGCACTCGTTCATCTTGCCACCCCCCATGGCAGGGTCCACGAAGGTGTGCATGCCTGGCCACGCGAAAGAAGCCAGTGCAGGCCTCTGGAAGTGTGCGTGTTGTTTTTGGACCAGCTTCTTTTTGTTTGTTTTTGCCGCACATCCATTTAATCAATATGTGGACCTGAATCGTTTCAGATGTTTCAAAACAAACAAATATCGGGTTTAAGCGTACGCTAGTTTGAACTTTGAATTTGCTTCATTTGTCTGAACATCCTGATTTAGGCTCCTAGCTTCCTCAACCTGCTCCACTCTGGTCCCTTCATTTCCAGCCAAAAGCCGCTCAGAACAAGCCCTCGGAGAGTCGAGTCGTGCCTACGTGGGTGATGGTACGGGGTCGCTTGGCCGCAATGTCCCGGAACATGTGCGAGATGACGCCTTGGCAGCCATCAACCCAAGGATTCACATCTGTTCTACAATCATATATGGCCATAGTGGTATTGTGTCAAAATCAAGTCAACAAGAAGAGGAACGGAACCGTATACTGGTGGGTTTTCCTGTCGGTCGCCCTTGAAACCAACCAATTTCTGCAGGGGACCAACTCCCAGTCGACGCCTTGGGGCAGGTTATAGGCTTCCACCTCGTTGCGCATGGCCATCGCCCCCAGGCGCGGCACCTGAAATGCGCCCATTTGCCCGTCGGGTCCCGCCGGGGCTTCTTGGAGACCAAGGGGATTTTGGGCACGGTCAAAGCCAGTTGGGGGGTTGGGACAGCTGCCTTTGCGGCATGCGACGTGGAGAACAAGCCATTCGTACCAGCTTGCTTCACCCTGGCACTGAATTGCATCGTGGCGCTAGGCCCCAGTGTCCTCCAACCACCCGCTTCAGCATGCCGCGGTGGGCGAAGTGGTTGACACCCTTCTCCTGCGGGCTCCATCTTACCAAAGTCACGCGCCAAGTGGAGGGAAACCACTTCAGTTTCTGACTTTGACAACCCCTCAGTGGCAGAATCATGATCCCAGTCCTTGCCGTCGCCTTGGCCAGCTGCATACATCAGCGTCAGGTCGCCTAAAGGTCGCAAGGAGCATACAAAAGCCCGAACGCAACTCTGAATGCTCGGCCAGCTACGGTAGCACACCCCGCACTTTGGGTGTGTGAAAGGACACCAACCTAAAACCAGCCATTCCAAGAATCCAATCAGTTTTGACGTACCCATGTTGACAGAATGTTTCAGACACATGCGAATCTAGATCAATTGCAAGTGGTTGAAACGCAGGCAACCCTTGACAGTGGGAGGGCTTTGAACACTCGCGCAAACAGCAATTTGGGGACATGGTCTTTTGGGCTCGACCGAGCCCTTGCGCACCCTGTCTAGACGTTAAAACTATATAGCTCGTTGCAAAGCCGCGCATACGTTCAGCACACAGCGTGCACAACAGTTGCTTGTAAATAGTCATTTCAGCTGCCTCAGGGAAGCCGGAAGCACCATGCGCCACACCCGCACTTGCTGTGTGCGCATGTCGAACTGCTCCAATGTTTCCGTGCTCCACGTCCCTCCCAAATCGGCCTACTCTGCAAGATTGCCGTGCGGGGCACTATTCACCCTCTTCTATGGCCAATGCTCTAACTGGAGAACTGATTCAATTGGCTCTACATCATTCGCAATGCGACTAGTTTCGCCTTTTTATTCTTGGCTGCTTTGAAAACATCACATTGCGAAAAGGGTCGTTGCCAGGGTTGCGCCCAAACGAGAACCATCCTCCAGTCCCTTGTAACACATTCCCTCCGTCCCCCGCAACCCCTCCGGGTCTCCGAGCGAGGCTTTCCGGTTTGGAGGAACCGCTTCTCCAGCTCCACCGCCAGCTGCTCGGGGAAGCCAATGCCGATGAAGCCCCCTTGCCGGATCCGGAAACTTCCTACGTCTGTACCGATTCAAGGCAACTGTTTCCGTGAGGGAGCTTTCAATTCTAGAAAACGGTTTGGTGCGTTTTTTGTGGACTTCACTTGTTCTTCCCCCTGCAGGTTATTGTTTGGTACTCTTTTAGTACTTTTTTAATGTCCTGCAGGGGTGGATCCACCAAAGCCACATCCAAACCGTGTTGTTCTGGACCAATCTGCAATTTGCTCCATTCAAACAGTCCAAAACCTGCAAAACGGGGAACAGTTCCGTTTCCCACAACCCGACTCCGGAAGACTCACCAAGTGATTCGCGCCCCAGAACTGATAAGAACCAACCAAACAAAAATACAATACACCCATACGGTGTGTCTGTGTGTCTGTGTGTGTGTGTGTGTCTGTGTGTGTGTCTGTGTGTCTGTGCGTCTGTGTCTATCCTATGTGTCTATCTGAATATGTGTCTATGTGTCTATGTGTGTATGTGTGTATGTGTGTCTGTCTGTCTGTATGTCTGTATGTCTGTATGTCTGTATGTCTGTATGTGTGTCTGTATGTCTGTATGTCTGCATGTCTGCATGTCTGTATGTCTGTATGACTGTATGTCTGTATGCATGTATGTATGTATGTGTGTATGTATGTGTGTATGTATGTGTGTATGTATGTATGTATGTATGTATGTATGTATGTATGTATGTATGTATGTATGTATGTATGTATGTATGTATGTATGTATGTATATATGTATGTATGTATGTATGTATGTGTGTGTGTATGTGTGTATGTGTGTATGTGTGTATGTGTGTATGTGTGTATGTCTGTATGTCTGTATGTCTGTATGTCTGTATGTCTGTATGTCTGTTTGTCTGTATGTCTGTATGTCTGTATGCATGTATGTATGTATGTATGTGTGTATGTATGTGTGTATGTGTGTATGCGTGTGTATGTGTGTATGTGTGTATGTGTGTATGTGTGTATGTGTAAATGTGTGTATGTGTGTATGTGTATGTTTGTATGTATGTATGTGTCCATGTATGTATGTATGTATGTATGTATATACAGGTGTATATATATATAGACATGTATACGTGTGTATATGTATATATGTATACCCGGATGGTCTCCCCCGCCCAAGCTCCACACTCGGCTTGTCAATCCATTTCTGCAGGCATGTTGGGCTACAAGAATCCACAGAAGCAGATGTTTTGATGACCTGGGTGCAGAACATTGAGTCACTTGAGTCAAACTAGGCAGGCGGTCTTATATTAGACAGAAGTAGTGTGAAACACAGAATCTCCTACTTCCAAAAATGGAATGCCCAAACACTTACAAGACAAATGAGGTTCAGTCACTTTGTGTTGTATTTTTTCGTGTTGTGTTTGGCGTTCGGGTGTTGGTTTATTTTTGGCTTTCTGGCTGGCAAACTAAAAACCATGAGTTGTTTCCCGTATGTGCCCGCTAAAAAGCAAACAAGGCCTTGGGCTTTCGAAGAGTTGCTCTTGCATACTCCATATCTAGCTATCAAAAACCAAAACCGAGTTTATTGTTTTGGTTGCCAAGGACAGAAAACCAAACACAGCAAAACAAGCCAAGAAAACCAACAAAACAACAAAAACTGGCTGAACAACAGACTCTCCTCAGAATGATGGTTTGTTGGATTTGTTGTTTCTACTGTTTTTGGCAGATCCCATGTGTCGTTGCACTTCAGGCACAAAAGGCCACCGTTTGTTGTTGCTTCAGCTTCATGCTTTTTATTACTGATTGGTCTTTGCCCGCTATATCAGCTTGGCAGGAGATTGGTTCTGGGCTGGGACAGGTGATTTAGGAAGATATGGCAGCATTCGCACTTCTTTGCCTGGTTGCGCTAAGCCCGACATCTTCTTTTGTCTGTGGCCCAAAACATGTTGCGCTACTGAACTTGCGTGGAGAAAAAGGCCCAGTTGCCCGGAACGCGGCTGCAACACTTTAGTTGAGACCTCAAGACGCCCCAAACTCGGTTTATCTACGCGCCGCTCTTAACAGGCAAATTCTTCCCGTCAGGAAGCATCAGGCGGCCCCTTGGTGTAGCGCTTGCACGGTTTGTTCTAGCACGGTTAGATATTGCTCGTGTCCGTAGACTAAAGTGGTCAACATCACCCCCAGCATCGCCACTTTTGGTAAAGGAAATACCTTTTCGCTTGCGGGTCGTGCTTTTCAAATTCGGTCCGTTTACTAAAAATAGATGTTGCGACAGTCCATAGACTAAATCGCTTCAATATCCGTATGTGTGAACTAAGTAGAATTAAGGGACTAACATCATCAACAGTTACTTAGAACAGACGAGCCAAGCCAAGGAGACCACACTTAAACAAACGCAAGTCTTCAAATATCTCTTTTCCAAGCGAGCAACATGAGCTCCCAGCCAAAGCCAAACCAAAATGCACGGCATGCGCACCGTGGTCTGGCACCACCCCTTGCCTGCATGCAGCCTGTGTGGCACGCGTCAGTCAAAGCGAGTTACCTTGCTGCTACCACGAGAGGCCAGCAGCCTTGGCTTTGCTCCCAAGCAATTTCAAATATGTATATATATATATACATGTGCATTATACCAGCATAGACCCCAGATAGCAAGAATGTGTTGTCAGCCAACGAACTAAAGATGCCCATCCCAATACACCCGGCACTGCAGCAGCACCTATGTTGAGTCTCGACCTGCAGCGGGCAGCGCTCTGCAGGAGCACCCTGCAACGCTGAGCAGAAGCTACCGCTGCTCAACTCTCATACTCGGCCTGCAGCAGCTACCTGCAACAGCATCCTGCAACAGCACCCTGCAACAGCACCCAGCAGCACCCTGCGCAACTCGGAGACTCGGGAGACTCGGGCACCCAGCAGCACCCTGCGCAACTCGGAGACTCGTCCTGCAACAGCCCTGCAGCAGCACCCTGCGCAACTCCCAGTCTCGGCCTGCAGCAGCTACCTCCAACAGCACACTGCAACAGCCTCAGTCAGCACCCTGCACAACAGCACCCTGCGGCAGCACCCTGCAATAGCACCAGGCCGGAATTCAAATGGATAGATAGCTGGATTGGTTACACTACATTATATAGTAGATTGCATTAAGACTAGGTCAGTTTCAATATAGATTAGATTGGATTCGGATTGGATCTGATTAGATTAGATGTTGGTTAGGTCAGAGGAGATTGATAGATTGATGGATGCATAGATAGCTAAATAGATGGATGGATACATAGATACATGGATAGATAGATATAGACATGTATGAATATCAGGTTCCTGATTCGGACTCCCCCCAACGTTCAGGACACTTGGAGGACTCCCCGCGGTCCGCCTGTGGCCACGGTGCAGCCATCTTCGATGAGCTGCACGGCCTCCTTCCAGCTCAAAACATCAGCGAGCGGTCGACTTGGCAAGTCAGCGAGCGGCAAGTCACCCTCCCTCCAACATACTGTGGATGGACGAAGCCATTTCGCACCACTTTGACACCGTGGGAAACCGCTATTTGTTGGTATTTGCAGGAGAATCATCAGAAACCAGGGTTTCTTAGGGGGTGCAGGATTTTGTGAGGGTACACCAGGGTAGTAGATGACACGACTTACGGCTTGCTTCATTTGGGCAAGTAAAGGCAAACACTAAACCCAGGTAAGTGAATTGTGCCATATCTTTCACCCAGGTGCAAGTCGTTTACAACCATGGTTGCCTCAATTACCCCAGTGACAACCAGGGCTGTAAGCTACAAAGTGGGTTCACTTGCTGGTCTGTGGGGAATCTCAGCGGGGTTGAGAATGAACCGGAAGGGGATACCCTTCAAGGAAACAAGTAGTTCAGGGATCGTCCTAACGCATTCCCTTCTGAGAACCTTTCGTCATGGGCGAGATTTCTCCTGGCTGAGTCAGAATCAGACATTTTCCATAACCCTTTTTCTGGGACAACCTCCCGTTTCGCCAGAATTGCTCACCAACCGATAACGGTTTAGTGCTTAGGAACCTTCAGCAAGCGCGCGAACTGCTGTCCTGAGCCGCCCAACACTTGGACAGGCATTTGATGGATGTTTTCTTTCTATTACCACAAGAAGAAGAACGGTGTTAAAGGTAAACCAAAAGGACACCTATCAATGAGGATCTCTTTTGTTTTGACACACCCATTTTCGGAAAGATTTGACTGGCATTGACGCGTCAAGAACAAACCCCCACATGCAGGGCACTCGAGCCTAAAGGCTGAAATAGGCCCAGGCTTGGCACGGTGAGTGTCTTGCAAGTCACATAGATCAAACCACACAAATGTTGGCAAATTTGGCCACCCCCGAATTGGCGATTCAGACAGGTGGCTTGAATGGGGGGCTTGGAGGTTAGGGCTCTACCTTCCAATTACGTGTCAACAGAAACAGGGGACAAACAGGTCCAAATCACAAATCCAATTAACCAATCAAATTAAATATACTAACGGGTGCCTGAAAAAGGCCGGCAACACACAGAGAACGAAAACTTGGCTAAACTAGGTCCTTGCCTATGGCTTTTTTGGCGCACGTGATCCATTTTAGGGGATTCCTCATGCGCCCATCGAGCCGTTGCTCAAAACGCCAAAGGCGACCAACCCGGGCCGTCACTTCGCAACCTTTTTTCCCCCGCCTGGACAGGGGTCACCTTCCCCATCGCGGGGCCAAAGGCCAGGCGGGGCCAGGCAGCAGGCGCGGGCGCGCGGAAGGCGCGTGAGAGGGGCGGGGTCCGGGCGAGGAACGGAAGTGCCTTGAGAGAGAAGCTGCCATTGGGACGGGGGAGCCATACTTCTTCCAACAAACATGTATGGCACAGACTCCTTTTGTGGGCACCTGGTTGGTTTGACAGCAAACCTTAATTGGTGGCCCGGCATTCACTTTTGAGGGGTACAGGACAACAATCCCATACAACCCCTTTTGGGGCTGGCCCATGCGTGTCTGGAGTGCCAAGCATCAGAAGCCGCTACGCCGGGAATGCCAATATGTTACCTCATATCACCTGGGAAATCGGAAGTGCATCACAAGGTCCTTTGCACGGGATGACCCATTGGAGCAACCACTACAAAGATGATATTCCCTACTAAATGGGAAAGCTACCCATGGTCATTTGCGGGATGGCTGCGTCGCGTCCAAGCCTGCCTTGTCCACCTTGTCAGTTTAAAAGAATGCTTAGTTTGCTCGCGTGTACTAGGCTGAACTTCCTTCCAGAAGCTTTTCGTTTCTTTGTTTAGAAAGGGGCACCCTAGCCCCCCGGTTTCAAAGACGGGCAGAGATGCGACTCTGTTCTGGCACGGCGGCAAGCAGGTTAGACTGTAGCTGTCCTCTAGGTGTTCTTCGTAAGAAAAGGTGTAAGCTGACACTTATCGAGCGAGAGGGTCAATGAAGCCAGCGACAACACGAACGTCGCAAACTTGGTCTGCTGGAAAAGAATTTGCAAACGCCCAAAACATCCGCAGCCGCCAATCCCCATGGAACTGCTTGCAGGGATTGGGGGGGAACCAACACAGCCCAATGGGTCCAACCTGGCGTATCCACCAGGTAGAGACTCGGGCTGTTGGCAATGGCTCTCCTCACCGCCTCGCAGGTAAGGAACCCACAAACCCAAACCTGGTAAAGACGTCATGGGAGAAGTTTCAAATAGGAAGCCCCCTTTTGGCATGACTTTCAAGGAACACCAAAGGGCACCACATGAGTGTGGTGTGTCAAATAGGGGACTCCACAACGTGGTGGTTTTCCTTGTGGCTTCCTAGAACCATGTTCACATGTTCAGAAGGGTACCAACTCCACAACAAGACCTACATGTTTCATGAAAGCCAGGGCCCACTCAAAAAAAAAAAACGCCCCCATAGCTCACCCGCCTCCTGGGTGACTCCCTTCCGGACCTGGAGTCTCCGACGAGTACCCATACGCTCGGGAGAGACGCGAGGGTCTTCTCAAATGGGTATTGGTCTGTTTATCTTAAGTGTGCTCTGAGATGGCGTCCACTACCCCCAAACCACTACCCCCCCCCACTGATCCAGCATAGCAATAGGGTCTATATAATTGCTAGTCGTTTGTATGTTCTGCTACCTATGATGAAATGTGGTGTTAGTTAAAGTACTTTGTAGCCGCATTTTGATTCTTCAGTGGCTATATCGCGGCTGTAAATCCCAGTAAATCCCTCAGAATAGTGGTTCGGGGGTAGTGGGAGCCATCTCAGAGGCACCTTCGCCCAAAAGGCACACAGACTCGGAGGGCTTGGTGGGACCGCGAATCCCTGCAAATGTCCAGGAAAACCTTGGCAGGGTACATAGGAAAGTGAAAACACCAGAAACTTGGAACCTTCTCCGCTGTTGCGCGGAGGACTTAAGTCTCGAAACGATTAACTCGTTCTTCAATTCCGTGCGAGCGGATGCTGAGGCTGGTGCCAACGCCGTCTTAGCGATGCGGTTCCCGTTTTTCTGCTCCTGGCTGGAGCAATCTCACAGCCTTCCCCAAACCCAGAAGGGCCCAATTCCCACAACCGTTTTCTTGGTGTCTCAAAGGGAAACCAATGTGAGTCAGCCGCTCGATTTTGTTTGGTTCATATTTTCTTCAGAACACAGGGCTCCAGGTACTGCGTACGAAAATGGCTGTGAATTTTGATGCGGAGCCACCTCCAAAGTGGTTGGCGGACAAACGTATTCATGTAAATGAAGTCCACTAAGGGCACCCTATTGAAATTCACACCCAATTGCTACCATTAGGACCCAACACTGCTCGCGAGCCACAGTCACTGAACATCGTGCGTTTCACAGTCATCGGATTTCGGAGCCAGCTTCGCGCTGTTTGCAAGTCAATGGTGAATACGAACCGTTGCTCAACTGATTCACCCGGCCTCTCTCTGAACTTGCACAAATCTTTTCCACGCCCGGTCCATAGCTTTTACTCTAAAATGGCACATACGGGGTCCGTGAGCAGCCCTGTTGTTGCGGCACGACGTGTCTGTGGCCTTTGCTTTTGTTTGCGGTCCTCGTCAAAAAGGAGGCATTCATGAACGCCTATTTAACACACTCCCCCGCCAAATCATTCTGGCCTGCGCGAAGATTCCATAGACGATGAGCTCCGTGCATACGGTGCCATAGCCTCGGAAGCATTGGATTCCGGTGGGTGCGCCGTGCGCCGTCGAAATGGGTTGGATTCGCTGCAGGCGATTTAATTAGTTCGGAAATGGGGCGTGTTGGGGGATGTGCTAAAGGACAGTATGTCAAGCCGAAACGTACACCATTTGGGCTCTTTTAACGGCATGCTTCCAAAGCCGCCAAAACCGAGGCCTGCACAACTCCAATTGTAAAGAGTGTTATTTGCTGTGTGCCTCTCACGCCGTGTCACCATGTCTCCAAACCTCAAGAGATTTGCACGCTGTCAGAAAGAGACTCCCAGAGGAGAAAGAGAGAGAGAGAGAAGACAGAGCGAGAGACAGAGAGAGACAGAGAGAGAGATAGAGAAGAGAGAAGACAGAGAGAGAGAGGGATAGAGAAGAGAGAAGACAGAGAGAGAGAGGGATAGAGAAGAGAGAAGACAGAGAGAGAGAGAGAGACACAGAGAGAGCGAAAACCAAAACGTTTGCTTGTCCGACCTGCTCTGATGTTCGCAGGCAAGTGTGGGGGTCTGGACTTGCCAAAAACACCTGGATACCATTCTTTTGTCACGGTTGCGAGGAAACTCTTCAAATAAAAACAAACCCAACACAACACCTAGTTGAATATCAAACATCCTGCGGATCTTGGAATCGCTCAGCACCGCGCCCGTGGAATCTCCGCTTCGCTAGGCGACCTCGGGCTCCGCACTCCGCCGCATGGCCTCCTCCTGGGCCGCATAGATGGCGTTGATGGCATCCTCGCGGAAGCGGTCGAAGACCTGGCGAATCGCTTGCAGAGGAAAAAGTTCCCTGGGGTCTTCCTGGTTTGCGTTTCCCAGTGCCCTTGATGTCATTTTTTGTTTGCGGGGGGAACCACCAAGAGGGTATGCGCCGCTGAACACCTGACTGATGGGAACCACGAGTTGGCTTTTAGCCAGTCAGACAGACCACTTTTGGAGGGGAGAGCCTGAATGATCCAAAGGTAAAACAACCATGTTGGAACTAACAGTCAAAGGAATTTGGGCCATCGATTCTCCCATGCAGACCGACCCAGGCAGCTCTTGTTGACGACAATACCCCAGTTCTTCCACGCAAGTGTTCTCAGACGGCTTGTAGTGAGGGTCTTCGCTCTGGCCTCCAGGTGGCAACTCTGTGCGCAGCGCTTGGTAGGCGAAGATCACAAAAAAGTTTCCAACCCAATCGGCAGACATGAAGGCCTCGTCGCTGGTGAAGAGGCGCACTCCATGCTGAAGCATCGTCTCAGTATCGAACGCAATCGCGACGGGCCTTCCGGCCCGCGCCCGGATGCGCCCACGCTGCTTTCTCACTTTCAGCCGCTCCGCGTACTAGACTTGCCTTCGTTGCTATCGAGATGTCGTCCCTGGCACCATCGGTCTCGACTTGGAGAACTTGATGGACTGGGACAAGTTGATGAAGCAAATTGATGAAGCAGTTGGAGACGCAAGCCGCATTGGCGACCATTCCCGAGCTGGACACAGTTTCCAACACAATGGCGCACCAAGAGAGCAGGCGCGCGGAGTGATGCTGGGGGGGAACCCTATAGCTGGTTCTTGTCCTTCTTGCTGTTCTTCTTCTTCTTGGCCTTCTTGCCCGTCCTTCTTGCCCTTCTTCTTCTTCTTTTGCCCTTCTTCTTCTTGTCGTCGTCATCGTCCTCATCATCCCCGTCGAGATCGCCATCGGGACCATCGGCTGGCGGTTTCCCGCCGCGCTTGTCCTTGTTGCCATTCCGTTTTCCACCATCATCACCACGGGCGGAAAATCGCCAGGCAATGGTGCTGTTGGTACATACTCCTCACCATCAGCATCATCATCATCGTCCTCATCCTCAACATGGTCATCGGGCGCATCCCTGCGAAGCTAAGTGGCAACTGACCCAACACGTGTCTTGGAACCACGGCCCAGGCTGGGGAGTGGAGCTGGGAATTCAGGCGCGACCGCTACATTGAGATTGCGAGTCAGGTGACATTAGTTCCTTCCTTAAGGACTCAACAGGCTGCTTAAACAAGAACTCCTTTAACTCACTTACCTGGCAACTGGCGATCAGACTCATCTCTCGCATTCTTGTTCTCGAGCTCCGTCATCGCCTGGTAGTTGGCAAATGCTCTTTCGGCTTCGCTTCTCTCAGCAGCCCATTGCCTTTTTGCCTCGTTATACTCGCATTTACTCGCCCTTGCGCTCAGTAATGCGTGACAAGGCCTCTTGGTACAATCGTCCCTTCTCCTCCGCGCGGCCGGCCTGTGACGATGGAGTCGTGGCGTGCTGAAGCAAAATCAGCCAGTTCTTCGGCGTTGGGCTCGGCCTGCGCAACATTGACAGCTAGTGATAAATAGTATTGTGGGACGTGAAGTCAGTCTTTGTGAGGTGGATATGTGCCTCTGTGTTTCTGGACAAGCTGGCGACAGGTTCCCCTCCGTAATTTCTGGATTTTCCGCGGGTCACGACCGAAGTGACGGGCGCAAATTCGGAAAACTGCTGCTGGATCTTTGTGATGGGTTCGTAGGTCCTTTCCTTTCCAGCTTGTCGCCCCTCACTAGCTCGTCAGCTACTTCACTTCGTTCATCTTTGCGATCGCGGGGTGACAGCTGCCGACGCCTGACCCCATGGCGTCGCGGGCTGGGTACGGCTGATAACCTATTGGAAGGTCAGATCTACCTAAAATACAGCAAGGGTGAAGCGCACCTTCTTACTTGAGCCAAATGTGCATTGATGGTGCAATGCAACACTATAGGTACATCACCAATGAAGACTACTCAATAACACAAACGTGGGCTGCCCCAAAAGTTTAGGTTCGCTCAAGCACCAACCAGTCTTTTCCCAAGGTGGGAAAAGGAAAAGCCTCGAACGAGGAAGGATGTGGCATGCCGGGCCTTGGTGCTGAGTTGTTCGATGTGATCTCCGATCTGGATGTCCGAAAATGTCCGAAGCACCAACACCATTGTCAAACCCAAATTAGCAACCCACCCATTGTCTTGCATTGTTTGTGTACTAATTTGTAATACTATATCACTATGCAGAGAAAAGTTCGTCAGACCATGAACGGCCTCGTCTTTGGCAAATTCTCACACCCAAGCGCCGCAGAGGCCACAAATTCACAAAGCTCATGTCAAAACATGTCAAACCATGAAAACTCATTCATCCCGTGCATTGAGCTAAAGTTCAACCTGTGATACCCCCAACGGCTCCCTGCCACCAGCTCACTTGCCCAGTGCGGACCTGAAAAGGTTACCTGGGGTCATGACTAAAAGGCCAACATGGAAAACCAAAAAGGTAGAAAGGTTGCTTCCGGCCGATTTTTTTTCGGCAAGTAGAAGCAAGCTGGCAAATCCAATCCCCCGGCGAGCCTTGCGGGCGGTCCTTCGGCGCGCCTCGGAGCGAGGCAAACACATGGGGTCAAAATAAGGAAGGTTTCCCCCTAGCCCCCTGTTTTGAATGGGACATTAAACTAAGTGAGTCCTGATGGGAAATTGAGTGAGCTCCTAGTGTATTGGTCATGTTGCGCTCGTCTTCCCAAATGGACCACACTGGCTGTGGCAAAATCTGGACGGGCAACACTTGCAGTGTGGCTGGTGTTTCTTTTCAGTCGAAGTCGGACATCTTGAGTGGATTGGCCAAGCGAAGCTTGAGCCTTTGCCCACTGAAATGGGGGGGCGATGTCCCAAAAATGGAGCGGGCCTTTTTAGTTGTTCAACGGAGATCAGGGGGTCCCTATCTTATGAAATCCACAATCCCAAATGATCCTCGCAAAAAGTGTGACGGATTAGTTGAAACAACACTGCCAGCTCAAACCGTTCTACGTTCGACCAGCCGCACGTTCAGAGATATGGGTGTGTCTGTTGTCTTGAGAACCCCTCCAAAATGGCTGTTTCCTTTTTGGTGTCCCTTCAAAGCTCCAAGAAACAGGCACCAGCAAAAAATGCAGACCCACTGGGCGTGACTCATGAGGGACCCACTCGTGGATTTCATGAGACTTTGTCCACCAATTTTGGTTCCCTAATGCACAGCCTGGCCACCACATTCTGATTTCCTCCGAAACAGCATGAGGCACGCCGGATGAATAAACCTCCGGGACCCGGAAAAGGGGGAGGGGGGTGGGGGGTGATATAGTTCAAGAAGTGATCTCCAGATCCGCTCTTTGGAAAAATCCACCGGTTTATTCATCCTTGATCATTTCAGTTTCCGCACCCAATCCCATTGGGTCCTGGCCAATGCACCTGCGCCTGCCAAACGCGGCTTCGGCCAGGCGCTTTTCATGAAGCATACTTCTCCCCCCAACCCACCAAGTCGTGTCAACGTTAGACCAGCGCCTGCAAGATTCGGTGGGGATGGCCTCATGTATGACCTTGAATCACAAGGCTTCTTTTTGTTCTGGTCTTATTTCACGCAGCCAAACACATGCAGACATGTAAATTGCTCATCTTTGGGTTGCACTTAAGTCAGTTCTTGCAGACTACCTTTTCAAATCAAAGTGCCTGCTTTTCCCCACAAAAACCACCCTAATGGCCCCTACTAGCTGTGGCTGGAGCAATCCAAAAACAGGCCCATAGCGACTGGTTCATCAACCCGTACCAAGTGTTCATACCAACCCCAGTGGGGATCGATCATACTTGACCGAAAATGCTTCCCCCTTTGCGAGGCCCTTTTGCAATTGCCCGCAAGAAGAGTGTGTGGGTGTGTGTTCGTGTGTGTTCGTGTGCGTGTGGCCTTGTTTTGGACCGTTTCAAAGGGAAGCCAGCCATTCGACAACGAAAGGCCTTCCCAAGTCCTGCCTGCCAGGTGGCTGCGGCGGGCCGATTGCCTTGCATCCGGGTGCGTCAAACTGGGGACCCCCAAGTTGGTGCGTGGTTTTCGCGGTGTTGCCCTTCCCCTCAAGCAAACTTGATTAAACACAGCACCCCGAACAAAGACGAGAATCCGTATGTTTGCGCGAAGCATGACTTGGTCTGTGGAAGTACGTGTTTGTATGCAGGTCAAACGCTAAAATGTGTGCAACAGTACACGTAATGTACCATGTACCTATGCATCTACTTATGTATGCGTACTTATGTATGCAGATTTGTATGCCTACATGCTGTGCGATTTATAGATGCTATGTCCAAAGAATGCCACTTTTCTCTGGAAATGCAACAAACGCTGGAAGATAAATCACAAATCCTCCCCTTATAGGAGTGGTATAGAACCTCCCATACATCCAGAGCCCATACCCGGAAATGCCCTTGACCTAAATTGTCTTGGCTCCAAATCAGGAGCTCTAAAACGGCACCGGCTACGCGATTTTCTTCTTCTAGAGTCTCCGGGCTTTGGCACATGGGTGCTTGTTAAAATGAGGGCCTAATTTTGGTATCCCTTTGCAAGCCAGCACCAGCAACCAAAACAAGGCCGCGTGTTGGGTGACACGGCCTTTTGGAGCCCGTGCGCCATGCAAGAGTGACTTCACAACGGGTTGAATGATCTGCGGGGGCGGGGGTGAGAAGTCGCGCTGCACGATCTCACGGAAACCAGATCAAGGCGCTCCAGAGACAATTTGCTCTTCACGCCTGCAGCGTTGGTCTCCTTTATCGGTTCACTCATATCCAGGCAGGAGCAGTGCAAGTGCAGCTGGATTCTTTGCAATAGCTTGGGGTACTGCTGCCAAGCTTCCGGTGAGGAAGCAAAGCAAGGCGGACCGTGTGTTGCATGTTCGCTCCCTGTGGACGAAAAAGAAAACCGTCGCGGGCAGCTTGTTTTTGCGGCGCTCATCACCCGCAGGCTTGTCAACAGCAGCAAACAAAGTCACGGCGCTGGGCCTGGTGAATGGCCGCTTGTGGCACGCTCAGAGCGCATGAAGTCAGCGTGGAACGTTTTTGAGGTGCCTGGAAGCGTTTTTGAGGCATGCCATCTTGACAAATCCCCCACGCAGGCCAAACGAAATGGTGATAATGTCCCGTTCTCTTGAAAGCCGTGTTCCCACGTTTTGACAACCCCTCCCCCCCAACAC